AGTTGCTGAGGAATTCTCAAATAGAGACGAAACGTTCAACGGATAAATATAGTGTTCATCTTAATTAAACCTGTCCAAAAAACAACCTCCCTAAGAGTAAACTTAGTAATTAAAAGAAAACGTTTTTAATCTTTTGCCATATAGCACCTTTTACGAAATCTTATAGTTTTTAACTATTATTCAATCTAGAAAGAAACGAAAATTTCTTTTAAATATGTGGAGAAATTTTTAGCGACGGTAAAAATGTTCTATTAGAAATTGAACAGAATGTATGACAGGTTGAATACAATCATGTTCGTAGAAAAATAATTAAATTCTTTACGAAGGTTAACTCTAAAAACTTGTAATGAAATGATTTTGTCCCTTTTTTTGGACAGCATTTGTTGAAATTAAAATGGTATTCGCTAGATTTTATTGGACAAAACCCTTTTTATTTGTTAGTATACGCTTTAAATCTTGAAAAAAAACGTTTTACAGCTTTTGTTATATAGCACTTCTTTGGATATCTGATAGCTTTCAATTATTATTTAATCTAGAAAGCAGCGAAAATTTTTCTTAATAATATTGAAAAATTTGTAACAACCGTAAAATATGCTATTAGAAACAAGACAGAATGAATGTCAGGTAGACAAAAATCAAGTTTTGTCGAAAGAGAATAAGTTCTAAACGTAAAGCTACCAAAATAAGTCGTAATAGAATGATTTTTTTTTTTGGCTGCAGTTGTCCAAATATTAACAATATTTGCCTAATTTTTTCGGACTTAAAACTTTTTATTTGTATGTATACGCTTTAAAGCTTGAAAGAAAACGTTTCATTGCTTCTTTTAAATAGAGCTTTTTTAGATTTTTTATAGTCTTTAACTGCGATTTTATTCCCAAAGTAGCAAAAATTACTTTTTAAATATAATAATAATTTTTTAGCGAAGGACAAAATGTGCTATTAGAAACAAGACAGAATAGATGTTTCGTTAACTACAATCGAAATTTGTCGAAAAATAATTGAATTCTACACGTGAAGTAAGAAAAAGTTGTTGTACCTAAATGATTTTGTCTCTTGTTTTAGACTGCAGCTGTTAAAACATAAGTTATATTTGCAGGATTTTATCAGAATAATAACTTTTTATTTTTAAGTTTACGCCTAAAAACTTAAAAGAAAACATATTTAATCTTTTGCTAAATAGCACCTTTTAAGAAATCTTATAGTTTTTAACTATTATTCAATCAACAAAGCAGCGAAAATTCCTTTTAAATATGTTAAAAAATTTTTAGCGACGATAAAATGTTCTATCAGAAACTAAACAGAATGGATGGCAGGTTGAATACATTCATGTTCGTAGAAAAATAATTAAATTCTTTACGAAGGTAACCCCAAAAAAGTTTTAATAAAGTGATATTGTCCCTTTTTTTGGACTGCATTTAATGAAATATAAATGTTATTTGCTAAATGTTATTAGACTTAACACTTTTTATTTGTTAGTTTACGCTTTAAATCTTAAAAGAAAACGCTTTATAGCTTTTGTTAAATAGCACTTTTTTAGATTTTTAATTGTTTTTTAATAAGATTATATTCTTTCTGAATATATTGAAAATTTTTTAGCAAAATAAAAATGTGCTAAAAGAAACTAAACAGAGTAGATGTTTCCTTGACTACAATCGAATTTTGTCAAAAAATAAATAAATTCTACACGAAAAGTAACCAAAAATAGGTGTAATAAAATGATTTTTTCTCTTTTTTTACACTTTAGTTTTTGAAATATAAATAAAATTTGCAATATTTTTTTAGACTAAACACTTTTTATTTGT